TCCCTATTTTTCTTTTATTTTTGTGTTGAAACATTGTGTTACTAATTTATGTTTTCGGTTGCAACATTATATTTTGTGTTACTAATTTTTGTTCAGAAAATATAAGATTCCCCAAAAAAATCCATAAAATAGAAAACGAAATATATTTCTCATTATCTGTTCAGTATTATTTAGAAAAATTTTCAGATGTTTTGTTAATTTTATTTGATAGCTATGTTCATAACGTTTGGTTTCGGGGGAGATTATTTTGCTACTGAAATTTGCTTTAAAAATTTTCAGGACGAAAAAAATGAAGTTTTACAGTATTGCAAAAAATATTCTTCCAGAAAATTCGAGGCGAGATACTAAAACTAGATTGCTGAAGGGAAATGATAGGTTGATAAATGGGTCTATCATTTATTTTTAATCTTTCTTCCTATATTATTATATTGTTTATCATTGTTTCCGTTGTATTTATATGTTTTGCTTCAAAATGTTGCCTCATAAAAATCTAAAAGAAAAGTTGCCTTTGTGCTGTTTTTTATTCTTATGGTTTATTGATTTCATATCATTGATAATGTAATTGTGAAAAATTCATTGTGCTTTTGTGATGGCTTTAGATCACAGTAATTTGTGGTCACAGTAATCTGCATTTCACTGTGTATTTTAAAGTAGAGCATTCACAACCAGAGTAGAGCATTTGCAAAATGTGTACGTCTCTTGGAAATTCGAAAATTGGAATCTACTCTCACTCCGAAGTTTATGAAACTTTTTTCAGGGGCCATAATCGTGGGAAGTGTATACTGAATGAATTATGTGAGCTGAAATGAATACTGAATGAACCAAAAACTAGAATATCGCTGCAGAGAACCTCTCCCTCATTGAAGCATTGTTCCATCAAGCTCTGTTGTCAACTTGCAAGTTTGTCGTGAAGAGCAAATGATCCGATATGAGTAACTTGGGCGTTGTGGCAGACTGTCATACGAAGGTTTGTGCATTGCCACGCCCTGCTTTTTTGATTAACACGGAATAATTTCTATCTAAGGTTTAATATTACTCGGAGTAATTCGATGATAAAAAGCTTGGCGGAATTTCATGTTTCTCTGCGCTAAGTTTTTAATTTCTGATTCATTTACAGTTTAACTCAAGTTCTAATTTTTCATCAGATGTCCAGCTTGAGTTCAGTCAGAATTAATGCATATCTATAACGGAATGAGGAAGTCTTCGAAAGTAAATATGCTTTTCTGTCATTTACTTGGTTAGTGATTGGGCTGATCAAGTTGCTGAAATCAAAACGGTACTTTACGGGTGCATATCCGCAGTTAATTGCAAGGTGGTGATATAAACTGATAGTCATTTTTGCAGTTCCATTAAATTATTTCAAGTCCCAATGAATTACTCGTTGCGGTACTACTAACAAACCCCATTGACAGTAACTCATGATTAATTTCTTAACTCTACTGAAATATTTTCACAACCTACTGGGCACACAGATTACTGAAAGATAAATGTTTAAGAACAAAATGCCGTTCTAATCTTATTAATCCAAACTGTCCCCAATTCCCATTCTACCTATTACGTTGAAAAAAATTAAGTAATATGCCGCAATTACGTGTTACCTTTCAGCAATATGTTTCACTGTTGCACGCCTAGCATCTAATTTTAGCTTTGTATGATCATTCGTCAGTAAGTAAGCACGTCTTGCCATACTCATCTCGACTTTGACGCCGTATTCTTGATAGGTGTTATGCTGAATATATGTTTGAATTTTCGACAGAAATGGGTCGCACAAAAGGTTCTGAGGCGGGTAATTTATCAGTGACAAAGCGTGGGTCGAAAGGTAAAGACAGAAGTGGTGTTGTTGTTAAAAGTGGTTTCGATGGCCCAATGAACGCTCCTTGGCGTAAAACTGTATCAATATTCAAGCAGCCCGTTACGCTGGTTCATACGACTAGTCGCGAGACGAAAAATCCCACATCTGAACAGTTGAGAAGAGGCACATGTGGTGGTTCAGCGGCGAAAGTTGATAAACCAAGACAGGCGAGTTTTTAGATTTCTTATTCAATCATCTTTTGTTAGTCAGTCATCTTCAAAAGATTGTTGCGCTTTTCTTGGAATCAGAAATCATCTCTGCTTTTCTTAACCAGTTTTTCCAAAGATACCATATGTATATTCACCTCACAACTCGTTTTATTTCACCGAATTTCATGAAAAAGTGAATCTTTCGCTTATAGCAAAAAGTGATTTCTTAGTTTAAACGTACCTTTATTGGCAAGTTGAGATCGAAGACTGCTTAAAAGCATTCGTTTTCTGAGCTGCGCTTTCATCCTGATTCGATAGATTCGGTTCAGATTCCGACGTTTTAAATATCTGATTCCGAAAATTATTATTTAAACTCATTAATGTTTTTATTAGATATTCTGGGCGAAAGCATTAGAAGGCGTTTGTGCGATGGTACCAGTTTATAATGCAGATCGTATAATCGCGGAACATAACGAGCATATCGCACAGCGGTTGAACCTTGCTGGTAAAATGGAACCTGCATTGACGGTGTTGGGTGCAGATGCATCAGCTGCATCTTTATGCTCTGCATTGCACGGCTTTTGCTCTGCCACTGTCACTGGACAAACAGCACCAAAGAAACAGATTGATTCAAATCCATCGATCAATACGAATATTGAACAACCTTTCGTTCAGGTTCATATTTTCTCTTTTTTTTCTATTCAGTACCAAAGAGGTGTACTGGTGATAACGAAAATGCTTTATTTTGATTGAAATCCTGAGGTAGTGATGCTTCTCTTGAAACATTTCCATTTTTTAGAAGGTAATTCTACTCAGACCAGTAAATTCTTAAGCTATAGGGTAGGTTTTCCCCTGAAACCACTAGGTAATTGAAGTCTTCATTTGAGATGATTTCATCTCTCCATTGTTAACCTATCACCATTTATCTCTTTAAAAAAATAAAAACTTCCATCAGTGATAAACCAATATTTTGCATTTAAAAAAACGCGAAACCCATTGTCCATGAGGAGAAAAGACTTGTTTTATGGTTTCCCGTTTCTTTGAATCTATCGTATCACATCATTTGAAATAACTGGAATAGTGTTTGGATATGTTGGTTCACTGGTTGGATGATACTGTCAAGGAAAAAAACTTTTTGGACATACTGAAATGAATTTGTTTTCAGGCCGTGAATGTAAATGAACAAGATATTCAACAACAAGAGCGTAGAGTATTAGATATGCGCAAAAGGCTACAAGAAGCTCGCAAGCATTTCCATTTATGAAATCCATGTATTCGTTTATTTATATTCACCGATTGTATTACCTCCGTTCAGTTTTGCTCGACTTCCATTTTGTAAAATACAAGACAGAAATGGTCGTAAGTTACTTTGGAATAAAACAGCGTTTCTTTATGAGCTCTTTCAGCGTTGTCCGTTCTCAGCAGAATTTATACGATGTCATCATTGGTTTTACCATTTGTAAAAATTAATAAATTATTCTATGCGCTCTTCGAATGAATTTGTGAGCATCGCGAGTAGTTTTCTTCTGTTATTGTGGGTAACCTTAGATCGAGTTTTTGTTATCACTGCATAAATGAATTGAAAGGTGGAGCTCATTTTCAGTGGAAATTCATGCTTAATTGTTGATGTATTTTACTGTAAGTAACTTTCTTCATTTTGGTGTGCGTATTTGTATCTATTGTCATTTTTTAGAGTTTGGTCATTAATTTTCTTCAGTTTTATCAATACATTCGCGTATTATGTAAACATATACGTATTTATTGTTATGTTCGTGTGTTTTTCGCCTCAGAAATGTCTGTACTTCAATAGTTGATGTTTGGTATTATGATAACTGTTATCACTTTATTATTTTACCACATTTTGCTTCACAAACACTTTTTTCTCACTTCATAAATGTGTTTCAGCGGTATTGAATTATTAACACGTTCATTTCGAGAAAATGATCCAGCCGAACATTCTCTTGTATTGTCGAAATTTCCCATTCACTAGACGAATTTAATTCTTTTTTTAAATAATTGCAGTTTGGAATACGATAGTTTCTTTCGTAAAAGGTCCAGCCGTCGTATATTATGGAGCAAGATTCTTCAAAGTATCAAAGTATTCTTCCTCGTTCAGTCCATTGATAATGTTTCATGTTATTTGCTCATCTTTGTTGTTGTATATTTCGCTTTCCTAGTTCACAAGAACTTTCATTTATAGGTTTTCACATAAGCTCATCGTAGCGTTTCTTACTAATTATAAATCTAACCAACTACTAAAAGTATTTTCAATACGTCTAATTTTAAATTCTAACATTGAATCGTCTAATTTTCTTTTATTTGTCCGTAAATCTTATAAAGTGTTATGTCGATCGATGCTGATATTAAAATATCACATCAATCAATGCTGATATTCAACATCAGTATTATTCATTGGAAACGGTGATAGATCCGTTTCCATGGAGTTATGATTATAAAATTGAGATGGATTTGCAACAACACTTCATTCTTTGTGTGAATCGCCAACAGATATTTTCAATCGCTCTTACAGGTCATCACTGTGTATATTGAGTAAGAAAGTGTCTGCAGCCAAAGTGACAGGCCTTTTTCACAAGTTGTGAAATCAGGTGATAGAGACGACAAAGTGCGTTGTTTGGTGATGTTCCAAATATGACCGTGGAAATTGCTTGATTCGACTTGGTGACTATAAAGTTTGCGGAAAGTCTGCAAAACCATGGTCTGCGCAGATATGTACAGTTCCTTCGACGATGCATATGAGACCAGTACAGTGCGACGTATGCCAGTGGTTCCAATTAGTCAGGAGCGAAAATAACCCATCTGGGGGTAATTTGAGGGTATCACAGTGATTGAGTGGGTCAGCAAACTAATGTGTGATTGAGTTGTTTGTTATGAATAAATGCCATTGTGATGGTGTTGTTTAGCTGTGGCATCTGAATACTGCTCGCTGATGGCAACACTCTTCTTCATTATATTTTCTGAGTATGTTGAATCCTCTTAACCCTGGACAAAAGTCAGTTTGCAGTAGTCACAAGTATTTCATAAATTCATTAATATATTGACTGACATCGTCTCTTACAAGCAGTAGGAGTTGATTGAGTTCTTTGGTACGGCAGAAAAAAACATGGGTATGGTACGAGAAGAGCGAGTATTTCATTATCATTTGATTATGCTGAAAAGTTTTGTTAAGGTCTCCAATGACTGCATATAAAAGGATTTTTGCTTGATAAATGAATTTTATGAACGAAATAACTGTTCAGTCGTGTCATCGGCATGTAGTTTATAACAAATATGCATCAGGTCGTCATTGTGCCCTGAATTCTGCACTGAAAATTATTTTTCATGGTTATGAGTGAGATACTTGGGTATGTTGCTGTTTTCAACTGTTTATCAAGATTGCATTCGTGTACATTCTAGAGTGAAAAAACAATCATGAATTCAAAAAAGCGGGTGTGCCATGAATCATATTTGCGTATCTAATATTGAGGTTTACGTCGTATATAATATTGAGGTTTATTGATTGTTTGAAGGCCTTCATGAGTAAGTTGGACAGCTGGATAAGGAAGATAAAGATGAACTATTTCACAATTTTCGAACGACTCTCAGTAGTTCTAGATGCCGGAAGTGACGGCTGATTACTACCAAAAACAAAGGAAAAGTTCTGTAAATACTTGTTTCATTCCAGATGATTGATTTCTTTTGCGCCATTGAGGAATTTCCTTGCTGTTTTCCATTCACTGCTGACGTTATGCGTGGAAACAGAAAGTCCTGGGGCGGGAGGGGGATGAGATCGAAGTGGATAATGGAGTGTTCGAGCGTGAGAAACTTTGACGTATGAAATCCCGGAAACATGTATCTCTCTGCGTGCAATTTCTTCAAATCTCTTTTCTTCATCGATAGCGCCATTCCCATCACCCGCTTACTTTCTTCACAATTTCGTGCTACATAATGAATTGTATCATTTTACAAAGACTTATCACTTCTCTTTCTTATCAAGTTTTGGTATCAATAAGCAGTCATATTACTCACATGAAGATATTGCATTGACGTATATGTGTATTCATAAATGAGATATAACAGAATATACTCTTATTTTCATTATCGCATTAATGAATTTTGCATTTTCATTATACATAATGAGACTTGAGACTGTGCTTGAGTACAGCGACATTCTAAAGTTATGCTCACGATCAGCTGAAATGACTCTATTATATGCGTTAGTTTTTGTTAATGTTAAACAGTTTTTATTACTTCGACAGGCGTGATATAGCAACAAACTTTCTCGATAAAGTTTCTTGTTGTCTCATGATATAATGGAATAGTCATACTGTACCAATAAACAATCACACTTCTTACAACATTTTTCTGCATTCATTACGATTTTTTCAGATTTCTAATCGGTTTTCAGCACCTGATGGTCGATCAACATTTTTCACAAGAAAATACCACTTCACTTGATAACAAAATTTTTTGTAAATGCAATCAAACACTTCATTCCAATTATTTAATCAGTAGTAACACTTCACTTCTAAATTCGCAAGTGAAGAAAAGAATTAACCGAAGAAAGTTGGAAAGGGATGGCTGTGCTCTAGGTGTGTACATGTTTCATGTTTCATGTATGGAACGATCGTTATGGCGGCAGGCAAAAAATGTGTGCGTAAGAGCGAGAAGCATTGAAGTGGATAACATAGTTGATTGTTATCGTGCGATTAATGTTGTTGATGGACAAACAAATGACGACGAAGATAACACGAATATAGCAGTGTTTATTAGCCAAGAAAATATCAATATCAGTTGATGATATTAATAAGAGGAGAGTGGATGCGTTATTGTTTTGCGTTGTTCATATTTACACACTCCATTCATGCATTGCTCTATTTGCTCAGTGTTAGCACATTGCTGTTGGTTAGCAATAGATAGCTGCTATTGTTAAATCTTTCTTTGAACTGACATTACGTCTTCAGAGTTAGTTATAAGCGTTGAGAGTAATGTGCTCTGTTATTTAATTTTACAAGCTTCTAAAATTAAAGTTTTAGAAGTAAACACTCATATTCTTCATCGTACTGACAAACAATACAAAAAATGAAGTATACTCGATTTTTGTGGTTGTTAAGTATTATTTGCCTCTTCGTTTCTCACACTGGACTTCTTCATCAGTATCAGTTTGCGGGCTCAACCAACAACGATATAAATTTATGAAAAAATCGAAAGGTTGCATTCTTCTTTTACCGCCGTTTGTTTCCTTATACCAGAAAAAAAGCATATCATTTGAAGTTGTTTTAGGCAATAACATCATTGGACAATGAGAAAAAAATTTCTTGAGTGTATTTGAATACAGCATCACTTTTGCACAGATTTGATTTTCACTTCTTTCAGTTTAGTTAAATTCACAAGAGAAGGCTATAATTAATGTTCATTTTTTAAGAATTGCAAACAATTTCTCGACAGTTGAAGCGCTCATTTATCAGAATATCACGCGAACCTGTAACATATCTTGGCAAAGTTCAACACATAGATAGCTCTATGATAGCAAGTCTGAGAACATAAATGCCCCTAACATCTTGTTTTTATTGCAAAAGTCGAATTCTGCCAAGTTTTGTCAGTCACATACAGTGTTGTCTAAACTCCGAAGTCGAATGATTTTTTTTGGCTCCTTTCAAAAAGAACCACGTCAACATTCAGCAGCCAGGTCTATGAGTTGCATGATATTTTTTTCCAGATCCAAATTGCTCAGGAGCTAAACAAATTTCGAAGCTATAGCCGGAGTTGGACTGAGCCAGTTTTTTCCAACTTGAGTATCACTGTGTGCTTACTCCTGGCCAAAGGGAGGAAAGGTTGGATTGGGAGTAGCGGTACTGAATCACTGAAGGATGGTGTTCCTCCCAGACTGCTTCTTTGACCTATTCCAAGTGACTGTAAACAGGTAAGAACAATCCCAAAATAAAAGTTGAATAAGGACAAAAGAACACTTTTATCACTTCCCTGTTGGTCACGAACTGTTGTTAAGTTGCTTCGATTCCGATAAAAATTGACTCCAATCAACGAATACTATACCGATGATATTGACTTCACGCTTCGAATTTTCCAAACACTGATATATTCCAAATACCAATCAACGAATTCCTCGCTGGTGCTACAGACACCAACTTCAGTCGAACGACAATATAACCACAGTATGATCTGCTCGTTGGCTATAGTGGAACCAGGAACAAAAGATCGCAATCCAACTCACTTAGCTTCCAATACAATTCAGGTCAATTATCACCT